TACTATGTATTAATTACTCTCCCTACCCCACCTCCACCCCACCCACCCACCCTCTCTCTCTCTCTCTCTCACACACACACACACACTTCAGATATCAATGAAAAAATACCTCTCGCTGCTTGGTTCTTGCTTTTTCACCTCTTTTCTTGTAACTTCAACCTGTTAAAAAAAAAGTTCCTTTTTTTATACACAAGAAACAATATAAATATGTAACTGCCCAAATGCAGAAGCTGGAAAATAATGGTATAGTTATCAAATTCTGTCTATAAATTCTTCAAACTGCATTCTGTTCTATCCCAATTTGAAACCCTGCCCAAACTGCAAATTTCCAGACAGCTGTTTCTCAATCATCCTTCACAAAAACAGTGAAGTGGGCAATGAAAAATTAACACCTGTACACCGAAACGTTAACACTGAAAATTACAAGAAAGCTCTGTATTCAGAGCAATCCTGAATACGCAGGGCTGCAAACTAGTCAGAAGAAAGGCAAAAGTTACCAAATAAATGAAGATCACTTACAGCTGAAGGTTCTATTTTTGGCGACCGTGAGATCGTCAACTGCGCCTCTCCCAAACTGTAAGGATACCTTTTTAAGAAGCGACACATAGATGTGGCCGACTCAGCACTATTCAACTGGAGAATTGCCTTCGAAATTAAAAAGTACAAAAAATCAACATGGAAGTATCTAATCTTGTAATAAAGACTGCATTTATCTAAAGGGAACCCTGAGCGCAAGAACTTCTTTTCAAAAGAGGCGCATTGAAGACGCTAACTTGGGGGGCGGATGGGGGGGCTCAGGCTCCTTTCCAGGGAACTCTGATACACAATGTCTCCCCATCAGCCCCCTGAAAGAAGCATTTTGTATGAGTCTGATGTTGTTCTTTAAAGACCAGTGCAGTTTTTCAACTCTTTAAAAGATTTTGAACCCCCACCCCGGCCAGGAATGTTCCTTGAAGCAAGCTGAGGACAGACAACAGTGGTTTATCAAGCTACGCTGTTCTGTAAGGGCTAGATCCGATATTGGGCTTTTGAACAGAAAGGAAGGATCACCTTGTTCTTATTTGTTATCACCATGTAATGATCCACTCGTCCAAAGCGAAGGCCGACGCAAAGTATTTCAAGTTCGGAGTACCCCGCGTCTGGCAAGTTCCCCAGATGCACAAACTGGGTGTGCAACATTTCCGTATTCACCTGAAGGAAAGGCAGGTATGTATATTGGGCTGCGGTTCCTTAATCAGGTTCAACTGACCCTCACATCTGAGGCTGGGGTGTTTCTTCTTCCTTTCACAGAGGGCAGCTCAGTTTGACAAACAGCCCAACCTACTTCCCACCTTCTTTGGCTGCGCATGGCTCTCCTGGAGTCTGCTCCTTCTTTCCACTCTCTTCTGTGATTAAGGCCATTACTGGTTATCATCAAAACTTTACTTCTGAAGTGACATCAAGACAGAAGACTCTCTACACTGCCCTGTCCACAATAATTTGGTATCACACTAATTTTCTACTGCCTATATTCTCAACATGCAGAATCAATTCTTGAACAATTGTATTTTCAATTGATACTTTTCAGAAACATCCATTCTTCACAGGATATTGACTATTTCATGATCCCCCCAAAAAATCTGCTTTGCTATTTTTTTTAACACCTTTCTCTATCTCAAGGGCCCAGAGTGAGTAACAACAACGCGCTAAGGAGCAACTCTGTTACTTACTTTTGGATTGACATCTTTAATCATCGCAATAAATATAGCTTCCTACAGAAGAAAGGGCCAAGAAAATTTAGCCAATTAGAGGATGTCCTTTACTGATTTACAAACCATCCCTTAATCACCCATCGTGTGCTGGCAATCTCCTTAATTTGTCAACCTTTTCCATCCCTCTTCAACACATTTCCCTTTCACCCATCTTCCAATTTTCCTTCCAATATGTTGCTCCCCAAGAGTACCACAATGCGCAACTGATGAAAGGAAGCTAGAAAGCCTTATGTGATAGTAAACACTAACATGAAGGCACCACTAAAGAACTGTATATTCTCAGGTTGTTGCAATTCACTAAACCTAATTACGTATTTGGGAGTAATAAGGGACTTTAGTAACAAAAAATCTGCTAGTTCTGCCTCCCCCAACCTAGTGTTCTATAAATATGTGGCTTCTGAGATCCCATTGCCCTCTTTTTGTTTAATTTATTCTTAGCAACCATTCACTAACCTCATTGAGATCCTTCAGCTCAGGTGCCAGAGTAATGCACAGCTGGTTCCTTTCCACCCACATCGGGAAGCAGGTATAAAATTTCACCATGGAATCTGCAGATTTGCGACTTATTTCTATGTATGCCTTTTTAAAAATAAGAAATTTTTATCAGTGGCCTGAAACCAAATGACCTCTTTCTTCCAAATGTTGGCACTGGGCAGAATAATTAGCCATTTTCAAACATTAATTAATTTAAAGAACAAATGAACGAATATATTTTTCTATTCAAATGCCCTAGGCAAATTGTTCAGTACCTTCTTATGTGAAGACACAATTAAAATATCTTTAACTTTCCCAAAGGGCTTGGTTAAGTTGGAAATCTCATCCAGGGTTAGCCCGGTCTCAGGGAGGCTGGAAATCACCACGACACACATCTCCTCTGCCTCCTGGAAAAACAGGAACTGCAGATCAGAACCTTTACTGGGAAAAATGAATATTCTCCTGCCATTTGCGCCTTCTCAATTTCCTGGCACCCATGAGGAACCACTGTGGATCTGTCCCCCTGGAAGACCAGCCTTCCTCCACCGGCACTGAGCAGGGCACAGGAGGGGCAAAAGAGCAACTTCTTTGGGGTGGTGCAAGGGAGCAGTGAGGTTTCTCTCTACTAGCAGTGGGAAAGCCGGGAGTGGAGGTAGGCAGAGTTCCCCTTCTCCTCCCCAGCCTTTCTCATCCCAGCAGTCAAAAATTTGAAATTTGGGAAATTCAGAAAAATAGTCCTCTTCTGGAATGAGACAACATTTAGGGAAAAAAAACTTGTACAGAGTATTAAAAGTTTTTAATGTGGAATATTTATGGCATTTTTAAAAATGACAATACCTGCACATACTAACGGGGTACAAATCGAATGTTGGTGGGTATCAAACTATATCCAACTCGTTTTTACTAAAATAACAACTCTCTCTCTAATCCACTATTTGTGAAATTCGCTGATGTGACACAGGGTGCAGCAACTTGCAACCTTCTCAATTTTTCTTCAAGTGAGATATTCCACCTTGGAGTTGGTGAAGCTATACTGTTTGTCTTGGAGTAGTCTACACCAAACTATGCCTTACTCTGCAAACTTCGTAAATACTTTAAATAAATAGCACAATTGTACAGTACGTTATAAATGATGCACTTTACATCAGCAAAACTATGGAAGCACTATGCACACGCAAGGTTTCCTATGATGTTAAGATTTTCTCCGTGGAGGGCCCTGCTTGTTTCCACTTATTATCAGTAAAAGGGATTCCTGCCTCCCTTCAGGGAAGGGAAGGTTGTGACCTGCTATCTCCTATGATCGGCCACCGTACAGAGCTGGGACAAAGTATGGAAGCCTTTTAGTTCACTGTTAAATGTAAAGAGACCCAGGACTACAAGGTAGTCAGAAATGAGAAAGAAACAAGGGAGTGAGACTCAGATTAGTTTAAGTTATACAGCTCATTCTGGAGACCCAGTATTAAAGTTAACATTAGAGAGACATACAGTTTCCCTCTGACAAAAGTGCAAGACTGCAACGCAGCAAGTGGACCAACTGCACTGCATATTAACTTCCTGTCCACAGGCAGTTCTATGCACGGCTGAAAATGTTTGCCTGGAGAGGATAATGGTTTGGCGGCAAGGAAGTAATGCCAGGGCTCCTTGATTCAGTGGGAGTTTCCAACTGTTTTGAAGAACAAGGAGGATTACCTTGAGGACAGATTCAGCTGCTTCAGGATTCTTAACAGCTTCTAACGTATCTGCATTTTTTAAAAAGAAAGGGAAAAAAAACTTAAACAATTCTCACTGGTTTAAGAGTTACTTGGGAGAGCCATCAAGAATCCAGATTCCTTGGGGTAGCGGGAGGGTGGAGCACCTGTCTGTCTCCTCTCCTCATTCTAGAAACGAGTGTTTCTCAGCCTCTTTAAGATGTGTGGACCTTCCCTTGCTGGCTGGGAAACTCTGGGAGTTGAAGCCCACATATCTTGAAGTGGCCGAGGTTGAAAACCACAGGCATAGACTGTCCTCCTATCTCTCCCCCTCAGCAAATCCTTTGCATGTCCACACACTCCACCACCACCCAGCCACTGCTCCCGAGGAGTGGTGCCCCAAACCTCATGCTATCTGTGCGCAAAGCTCAGCCCATTAGAATCTTCAGAGCCAGCTGCCTTCGGAGGCTTGTGCTTCTGCCAATACTGAAGGGGATTCCCCTTGCCGCTGGAGATGGAAACTCACAGCTGCATTTCTACCTAATGCTGCCCACACTGCCCTCCCCCCAACAAATGGGGACCCAGGAGGCAGGTATCCCAGCCATGCAGACCTAGACAACACTGTCTGCAGAGGGGGGCAGGGAGAGCAGCAGATTCTAGAGCTTTGGAGGACCACGCTAAGAAAGCTGGAGAGCTACATCCATCCCTGGCTTAGTGATCTGCCCGCACCTGACGTAAGGATACCTGGTGGGTCTGCTGGGTTGCTTGACTCCTTAGCCTTAGATTCTCCAGCCTGGCTAGGTTCCACAGCATTCTGGCTTTTAAGAGATTCCTTGGATTCTGCCACCTTCTTAGCCTTAAGAGGTTCTTTGGCTTCAGAGTCCCCCATTTTGTTGGGTTCTATGAACTTCTTGGACTTCAGAGATTCCTTGGTCTTGGATTCGCCAACTTTCTTATGTTCTGTGACCTTCTTGGACTTTAGAGATTCTTTGGCCTTGGAATCTGTCACCTTCTTGGCCTTTGAAGGTTCCTTTGCTTTGGGTTCTCCAATTTTCTTGCTCTTTATACATTCTTTGTCCTTGGATTCTACAGCCTTCTTGGTCTTTAGAGGCTCTTTTACCTTGGAGTCTACAGGTTTGGGGGATTCTGTGACCTTTTTCGCCTTTAGAGGATTTTTTGCCTCTTCAGATGATGTGGTATCTGCAGTATCATTTTGTTTTATGGCTGTTGCTCCAGTCTTCTTGGCATCCATATTTTTTTTGGGTTTTACAGCTACCTTGGACTCCCCACCCTTTTGAGTTTTTCCGAGCCTCTTGGTATCAGTTTTTGCTGTGGTCAGATAAAGCATTTGTTTTTATGGTTACAAAGATTTCTTGGAGCAATACCATTAAATCAGTGTTTTTCAAACTTGGCAAGTTTAAGATCTGTGGACTGGAGAATTCTGGGAGCTGAAGTCCACACATCTTAAAGTTGCCAAGTTTGAAAAACACTGCATTAAATCCATCAATGAACCATGGTCAGGTAAGATTAAAATATCCACCATAAAAATATAATATGGGATACTTCAAAACTGTGACCATTGATACTTCCTTTCATCTCACTAATAACTAACTATAGTTTGCACTAAAAATATTAAAACACGAACGGAAAACCCATCAGAGCTGTTCTACAAACAACCCTAAGCATGGACTGTCCATATGTCTCTACTGAGCTGGAAATATCACTCTTAAAATGAAGGCTCAGGGGCCAGGGGTTGATCTTGGCTATGCACACAACCATGCTCAGTCTTAGAATATGCACCTCTACTAAGGGCGGGGGGCACTTTACAACAATCTGAAAAAGTGCTGCAGACCTCAAGTAAGCACCCTCCGCTAATTAAATCCAGTTTTCACATGAGCCTGAAAAAAGTTGTGGCTGTTTTAAAGAGCTGACTCTGATACTCCAGCTCAAAGTAGCAGCACCCATTTTCTGGTGCACAAGGAAGCCTGAGAAAAAGCGGGCTGCTCTCATGGGGTCCGAAGCCCTTCTTCGGAATCTTCAAAGAGCACCAGCCCCAACGCCTGCCTTATGGCGATCACGCTGGACCGCTGCGATCTGCTCCCCACTTGCCTTTGGAGAGTGCTGAGAAATCAAACTGCCGCTAAATGGGTTTCCTCTGTTTAATGGGCACCCCTTCCCCCTTTAGTCTGATTAAGTGAGGGTTTGCTACATAAATGTTTTAAAACAAATAATGTTAGGCATGTCTGAATCCAGTCACTGACTGACTATGTGCCATCAAGTTGGGGCTGACTTTTAGTGACCACATGGACAGATTTTCTTCAGGACAATCCATTCATACCAACAACAAAATAATCAAAAAGTGAGCAAAATGAGCTTCAATTCTGCAAATTTCAGCTACTCTGTATTTCTCCGAAAAGTATATCCCCCAACAATAACTGTATAAATCACCACTCTGCAGGATCTGCCCTCCCGCAAGAACAGCTCCTCCCCCATCTCTATGCAGCCACCTGCTTCTTCAGCACATTCCCATCCAGCAGCCCAAGTCACCAGACTGTTTGGTGTGGGTTTAAAAAAAATATCAGATATATTTCTCTAATTTGGGGTTGAAAATTCAGGAAAACACACGCAGGCACAAACACACAGAACATCTAGAAAATGAAGAACTTACAGGCAGAAGGCATAGGAGAAATCATTTTTACCACAGATGCAATTTGCTCTTTCCTAAAGAGAAAAAAATAACAGTTGAATTCATTTCCATTCACCCTCCTAGGAGCATACGTCAAAAAGCTGATATATCATTTGAGAGTCCAGAGTAGCTAATTGTCTTACTTCATATTCATGGGAGAATCCTTGACATTCTGTGCAACCTTCTTCTCATTTCCTTTGCTCTGAAAATAAAAGGAAGTAATTTTTATGCTCTGCAAAACAATACGCCAGATTGTTTTGTATTTAATAATACAGTATTTGGGGAATACGCCCTTTACTTCTGTCAAAATAAAACAAAAACAAGTATCTCACCCATTCATTATTCTGTAGGAAATCAAAGAGCAACCCTTGGATTTCTGACAGCTAAGCCAATCAAAGCATCTCTATACAATACTAAGCTGTAATCCAGTAACACTGTATGATGTTTATCCTGACGTGGGATCTGGTATCTCTGGTTCCCTGCCCACCCCCCTTCCAATCAGGTATCAGAAACCAAGAATGAACATGCTTACAAATTCTGGTTTGTTCAGAATAACGTAAGCCAGAATTCTTGGTCCACCTGATTTAATACACAGACATTGAGTGCAGCCATCTGGAGATATTATGCTTGTGCCTGCCAGTTTTAAATACCCACAAACCAAAGAGCCAGTTTTGATTTTAGTCCAGCTGAAGGAGCCGCCTGAAAACCCTGAGCAAGTGGGAAATGCACAAAGCTTACAGTAATACAGATAGGATGTGAGCAATGTGACCAGAGTAAAAGGAGCAGCAGTTACATGCCTGGAAGGTGAACTATAAAAATTTTGTGTTTTTTTAATGTTAGACTCTGAAAAGTCAAAGAGGAACTAGGGCGTGCCCAAGCAAGATTTCAAAAAGTTCATTCTTGGCACCATCAGGTAAAGTTTACAACTGTATGACGGAGGGACATACAGTCAGGTCCAGAAATATTGGGACATCGACACAATTCTAACATCTTTGGCTCTATACACCACCACAATGGATTTGGAATGAAACAAACACAATGTGCGTTAACTGCAGACTGTCAGCTTTAATGGGTCATTGTCCATCTGTACTGTGAAGCGCCGTCCAATGAGTTCTGCAGCATTTGGCTGAATGTGAGCAGATAATATTGCCCGAAACACTGCAGAATTCATCCTGCTGCTTTTGTCAGCAGTCACATCATCAATAAATACAAGAGAACCAGTTCCATTGGCAGCCATACATGCCCACGCCATGACACTACCACCACCATGCTTCTGAATGTGAGCAGATAATATTGCCCGAAACACTGCAGAATTCATCCTGCTGCTTTTGTCAGCAGTCACATCATCAATAAATACAAGAGAACCAGTTCCATTGGCAGCCATACATGCCCACGCCATGACACTACCACCACCATGCTTCTGAATGTGAGCAGATAATATTGCCCGAAACACTGCAGAATTCATCCTGCTGCTTTTGTCAGCAGTCACATCATCAATAAATACAAGAGAACCAGTTCCATTGGCAGCCATACATGCCCACGCCATGACACTACCACCACCATGCTTCTGAATGTGAGCAGATAATATTGCCCGAAACACTGCAGAATTCATCCTGCTGCTTTTGTCAGCAGTCACATCATCAATAAATACAAGAGAACCAGTTCCATTGGCAGCCATACATGCCCACGCCATGACACTACCACCACCATGCTTCTGAATGTGAGCAGATAATATTGCCCGAAACACTGCAGAATTCATCCTGCTGCTTTTGTCAGCAGTCACATCATCAATAAATACAAGAGAACCAGTTCCATTGGCAGCCATACATGCCCACGCCATGACACTACCACCACCATGCTTCTGAATGTGAGCAGATAATATTGCCCGAAACACTGCAGAATTCATCCTGCTGCTTTTGTCAGCAGTCACATCATCAATAAATACAAGAGAACCAGTTCCATTGGCAGCCATACATGCCCACGCCATGACACTACCACCACCATGCTTCTTCACCTGAGTTGGATGTACATACCCTCAAATTAAAGCTGACAGTCTGCAGTTAACGCACATTGTGTTTGTTTCATTCCAAATCCATTGTGGTGGTGTATAGAGCCAAAGATGTTAGAATTGTGTCGATGTCCCAATATTTCTGGACCTGACTGTATGTGGGTCATAAACTGTGCTTAGAGAGGGCAACACGTTGGTAGATTTAAAATGAGAAAGATTAGCAAACTTCCCTGGAACCAAATGTACAATGAAATTTTTGAAAAAGCAAAACAATTGCTTGGATTGCAGTAATTGGAGGAATTATGAAATCTGGAGGCACATGCGGATTTGCATACTGGGGGCAAATTTCCTGGATCTGGCTTTGACAATAAGGCCAAGGGAATCCTTCTAGAATTCACGGCTATATCACTACAACGGAAGATTTGCCAACAGTCGCTGCTCACAGATACGTCATCTGACCACCATTACCTAAATTCTCATCTCCTAGTTAATTATTGCAATGTGTGGTATGTGCAGCTCTCTCTGAAACCTGTTGGGAACTTCCATTAAGTAAAGAATACAGCCATCCTCAGATCAGCCCAGTTTCGAAACAGTTTCAGTGGCTGCTGGTTCACTCCCAGGAGGCTGACACCTATCAAGAGTCCAGACTCCCACAACCCCCAGCCAGCACTTCAGGTCGTCTGCTGAAGCCCTTTCCCACCTGCCTCTTCCCTCCTCTGGTGTTAACCACAGAGAATGCTATTGGGTCATGATGCCGTGCTGGCTTTCAGGGGTTCTCCAGATGTTGCCACACTTGGAAGGTTGGCGGGAGTTGTAAGTCAGCAACATTTGGAGTGCCCCATGGTCCCTTTCCTGCTTTAGACAGAAACATTTTAATTGCTCAGGCATTTAATATGTTGTTAATTGCCACGGGTATGTTTTAATACAACTGTTATTCTGGCCTGTCCAAATTGCCTTGTTTTTAAAGCAGAACTAAAGACAACGTAGAAATGTTTTGAACAACGAAACATATCCACAAACCCTTCTCTTTCACAACAGGTTTCTGCTTACCTGACTGCAAGCAGCTTTGGGTTTTTCCGCTACACTTATTTTCACGCGCTTGCCATTAACAAGAACAGGAACTGTTTCGCTGTATTTGACAGCTGCTATTACGGCTTCCTTATAGTTCATTTCAAGGTAAGCCTAAAGAAAAGAGAATGTTTCTTATGTAAGATCTTGCTGATACTTTATTCCAGCCACATACCAGCTTTCTATTCAAACATCCAACAGAAATGATTAACAATAATTAAAATGCAGTATGCAAACATTAAAGACAAATCAAAATCAGTATTATTTATCCTTAAACTTATATCATTTACAGAGGTTGCTCAGCAATTTGTGACAAAACACTGAAGGAGAATTTGGGGAGTCAAGTTAAAAGAAACATAAAATAAATAAAATATAAAACTAGTATTGAAGATATTAAAACTATAACAAGAACAACTAAAAAGAGTAACAATCAGCAATTAAATGTCTGTTTTACAAGGTTATTTTAAGGCTTTTTACAAAGCCAGTGGGTGGGGGGGGGTCATCTCCCAGGTCAGCTCAGTGAAGAGAGCCTTCTGTAACAGGAAGTGTCACTTTTAGATATCTTATTTAAGCCCACAACTGCCTAACGGGACAACATTTCCAGGAAAGGAATAGGAAACTGGTTTTCCAATCCCTCATTATGTATTCTCACCAAGTGTGACTGTTTTGCTCAGTCCATATAAATCACCCCAAGAGCTCTACTGTAGTCTAAAGAACGGATACTGGACACACACGCAGCAAAGAAAAAGGGTAGGTTCTGTGAATGTCCACGTCTGACCACCTAAAGAACAACAGTTACAGCTAAGCAATCTATGCCTTCTCCATCTTACAAAGAAGCGTCACATGAAAACCCTGATTGATCAAAACCGTGATGGGTGGTGGGTGTCATTACCGAAGGGCCCATCTGGTGATGACCATGGCATATGGAAGACTGCAACTTGGAAGGTAAGAGGAGCACAGGGTAAGGAACAAGAATTAACAAATGAAATAGCAGAAAGTAATAGAAAGGAGAGGCCTATAGGTCTGAATTAAAGTGGTGTGATCATAGGAGGAGCTGAATCTTGATGCCATTTAGGGAGTCTATATAAAAGTAGAAACATGCAGGTTGGCAATAGCTGTCCATCCTGCTCTTGTGAATAGAGACAGTGGGAGAACCAGAAGAAAAACTGTGCAACAATTCTGAAAGAACACAATCCAGGGGGGGAAAACATGAGACAACATGAATGGATGGGTGGGAAGGAGATGAGAGAACAGATAAGGAAGGGCTGAAGCATTCAGGGACCCAAAAATGAATGGGAATGGTGAAAGGTGAGTATCTTCACAGAAAAAAGTACGTAGTTTCAAATACGCAAGCATAAATCTATTCATGGGTACACACAGCAGATGTGTGAATCTAAAAGCAGGGCTGATTTTATTGTTTATTGAAAGACTGAGTGAATTAGTAAAAGATAAAATCATACAGTGATGCAATAATGATGAGAGGTTCAGAATTCAGGACAGACTACTTTTTGGTAGTGCCAAGACGGATCTTGGGAATTAGCAGATACAGGAGAAGTATGAGAAAACAGATGAATCTCCCAACAGAACAAATGGAAAGCGGAAGTAAGAAGAGAGTATGAAAACTGAAAATGATGATGCTATACAGCATACCAGTAATGTGTGGAATTATGCTATTGAGAAGTATGAAAAGGGTGCTTGGTGAAATGATGAAATGAAGGAGCTGCAGATGAGAAATATGTGCCTAAAAGAAAGATTATTGCAAAAAATGAGGATCAAAGTTACTGAAAAGTGTCAAGACATAAAGCAAATTACAAAAGATGTAGTCAAAGACAGCAAAGTACAGTGAAGATCAAAAGAGGCAGAGAAATCCAAAGCAATTTTGCTGGGAATTTTAAAAAAAAAGACAGAAAGAAACGGTTTTGGAAGTGGAAGAAAAGGCTAGACAAATGCCTCCAGCAGAGTGAATGGAATTAAAATTAAAACTGATGAAATGATTTGGGGTGATCTGTATGGGAATAATAGTGATATATCAAAGAGTGACATTGAAATGAATGCTAATGTCCAAGAAAAAAAGATTAAAAGGATGTCGTAAATGCTGGGAAAATGTTAAAAAATAGTAAAGTTGCAGAGAAGTGTTAAAACATGGATGTGGTTTGCTTATGGAGTGGCTATTCAACTTAACGTGTGTGCCTGGCAACTGGAAAAACGCTACACAAAGTTCCCCCACGCAAAAAGAAAGGTGGCGAGAGGGAATGCAGAATCACACAATTGTAGCTGAAAGGGTTCAAGAGGTGACAATGAGAGAGGCTGGGAAGTGAATGTGGCTGTACACTGAGCAGGAGATGAGCGGGTCACTGAGAAATGTGTGAAATGTGAGAAAAAACATGTTGCATACTTGTTAGATTAGAGAAAGCACAGAATAAATAGGTTTGAATTATGGAATGTTTTGTGTGAGTATGTAGTTGAAGGTGGGTGGCTGAATACATTAAGAGCAAGATAGGATGGAAGTAAAGGATGTGTGATGTTCCTTTAGTTGTTTGAAGTATTCATGGATACGCATAAAAAAATGCTTCTGATTATTGTAGAAGTGCTTTGGCTGGAGACATTAATGGGTAGGTGCTGCACTACTGCCTGAGAATTCAAGTGATCTGCAGGAAACATCAGATTTTATGACACAATCAGGTGTGCAGATTTGTAAATTAACGCATTGAAGACCGAAGACAGAGAAAATGAAACAATAATTGCAACTTATACATGAATGGCAAAAAACTAGAGCAAATAAATATGTGTGGCTAAGTATAACGTTTCCTCAAGAAAATGGAGAAAAAAATTAGATGTGCAAATATGAGTAGAAAGATAGTGGGCAGTAGGTAGTCTGTTGAGAGGAATGAATGAATGAATGATGGCTGTGTATAAGAACCTGCTTCTGCCCATGATATAACATGGAGATGAGAGTTGGTTATGTCTGGAGAAAAATAAAAATAAGTTGAGTGCGGTAGGAATAGGCCATTTAAGAAATGTGTGTGAGAGAGGATCAAGAATGAAAGAGTGCTGAAGAAATGTGGATTAAATACAAACGTGAATGACCGTACAGAATAAATATACTGAGGAAGTTCAAGTCATACAGACCAAATGATGGAAACCAAATATATTTGCAAATAACAAATATATGAAGGAAGATGAAGGCTGAGAAAATGGTGACTGGATGGAGCTCATGAGATCTTTACAAGGAGAGGTAAGAAGGTTAAAGAACAAAGGGAGTATATGCCACAGTGGGTGGATACGGTGAAAACAAGGGTGGCTTGTAAGGACACAGACATTTAGTAAATGGGGTTGGCATAAACTAGAATTAGCTGTATTTTCTGTCTTTTTCTTGCTTCATTATCTTCTTCTTCTTTTTTTTGCTTTTTCTTACCTCTTTTTTCCTCTTTACATAACACTGCCTACCCTGAGAGTGAGTAGCCTATTGGCTACGTATGTATGCAACAAACAGAAACCTAACCTTTTCCTGCGGTGTTGCAAGCCATTCAAACATACCCACTCTAATGTAACTTTGCCAAAAAAAAAAAGTGTATTTTACCGAAATAAACATATTAAAAATTTGAGAAGCTGCTTACCTCATTCCTACAACGATCAACTAGGATGTCACTAACTTTTCCAAAAGGCTGAACTATTTTCTTAATGTCATGGTCTGTAAAACCATCATCTGGTAAATCAGATATTTGAAGAACAGTCCCCAAACTCCTGGATTTACTTGTCCAAAACTGCAAATGATTTTTTTTAAAAGCAAATTTTAAATGATTTCTCACATTTGCTCTCTCATATATAAATACCAACACACACAATAAAAAAAAGCTAATAGGATACAGCTAACTTAAAAGAGACGAATAGCAGGGCAACAATGGCTAAAATCTACTAAGCACCTCCCTTAAAATCCACTAAAAGAGCCTCAGACAATGTTTATATAATTACATTCCCATCTCCAAGACTTTACACAATTGAACAGTCGGACGGCAGTAACAGGTTTTTCAAGATGAAGTGATGCCCCTTGCACACCGAGTCAGCATAACTGTTAACGGATCAGGCCCTTTGGGCAAGGAGCAGATTCAATAAACTCTTGCCCCACCCATGGGGCCCCCTAGAGCCCCTCCAAGAGCTGTCAGCAAATTGCAATTTCTAACGTGGAAGAAGAGGGAAATTATTACATATGTGATGAGTCATCCTATTAGCAATATTGAGTGAATTTATTTTCATTTCAATTTAAAGTCAATCAAATCTAATCTGATTCTATCTGGTCCCACCGAAACTCACAGCTTGCCATTAATCAAGACTGGCCCCCAGCCCAGCAAAAGCTGTCAAATGGGGCTCTAGTTATGGAAGTCTAACTCCCCCAAGCACTTCTCTAGGGAAACACACATCCCTGAACAGACAGCCACAATCACTATCACATTAAGACTAAACATCAAACAAAATGCAGATAACCTACCTTACTGAAAAGAACGTCTGTTTCGTTTACTGGTGCTCCCGTAGGCAGTTTCTTACATTTTCCCTCAGCTATGATTCCTTCTTTGTTGGACCCATCAGCAGCCTCAGGGACCTTAGTTTTATTTTCAGACGAGGTGTAACGGGAAAGTCCTTCTCTCTTGTATGGCTTTGGTGGAATCGTAGGATTCCCGGTCTTCACGTCTCCAAAGTCAGGTGATGTCCTCCTTGCTCCTGAAAACCCCTGGTTGAACGCTTGTTTATGAAAATGTTCAACAAAGCGAGGTCCCAAATATTTCACGACCACTTCCAAGGCCTTATCTGGGGGAAGAAAAGAAAGCACAACGCTTTTAAATGGATTCACTGGTCTTGGTCATTTTAAATACCAGGATACCTCATCTCAGACAAAGCAAGTGGTCCCCCAAATTAAAACAATACATTAAATACTATTTTAATTTTTAGTAACAAAAAGACAAACACATAAAATAGTAGAAAAAGTAATCTATTACTAAATCATTACTTGGCTTTAAAACACTGAGGAAAACACAAACGTTTTTGGAATGAACATAAACTGTACTAAAGACAGTGCAGGCTGGGCGGGGGGCAGAGCTGCAGATCACCACGCTCCGACACACCAGCCATGTATAATGATAACATGAGACAGAGGCTTGTACACCGAAACATAAGACGAGCAACGTAGTAGATGCAACCCAGTGCAGTGAGGAGTGTTCAGAGCTCTACACTGGAGAAACCAAACAGCCTTTACACAAGAGTATCAAGCCAAAAGAAAAGAAGTCCAGATGCCATGACTCAACTTCCAGATAACTCCAGATGTTAAACATGAATTTTGTTTGACTCTGAAGTTTTAGGAATGCTCAAAGGGCCACTACAGTATTTGGATGGTGACACAGCAGTCTATACCTAAGTGAAAAGGTTGAGAAATCCTTCCCAAGGAAGAGGCTACGCTACAAAGAACAATAAAGATTTCCAGCTTTCAAGTTAATGGAGAAAGCTGAAGAGCAGTTCTTTCCTATGAAAGGAGCCAACATCAAGTGTTAAAGCACCCTGTGGGCTAGGCTGTCCCTTGGCTGTATGCACCATAGTTGCACCAACCCTGGAACATCTATGCCTTGAGGTTCGTTTGTTTTCATTTATTTAATCAAGTTATATGGCCACCCACTCTCCAAAGTGCTTCTGGCCAGCTAACAAGACATGACAAACAATAATCAATAAAAATAGTAAAATTAAGAACAAACAGGCAACCCAACTGTGAAACCACACCATACCATCTCCCAAGAGAGGCACATCTAACATCCCAGCCTGAAAAAAGGTCTTTAGTGCCTTACGAAAGGTTAGCAGGATCAGGACCAATTGAATCTAGTGTGGGGGAATCATTCCAGACAGAGAGTGGTCACTGCCCCCCAGGAAAGGCGCGCTTCCTAGGTCCAGTCAGATGTCACTGGGAAGGGCCTGGAACGTGCCCAGACTGGAAAAGTGTGTGGGAAGGGATGAGGCACCTGGGGACAGGCAGTCCCGCAAGTAACTCAGCCCTATGCCACGCAGCGCTTTACACATGATCACTAGCTCTTTGCGTTGCGCCCAGCAGCCTACCGGGAACTGGTGCAGCTCATGAAGCAGTGGGTACTCCATGCCACTACATCCTGGACTCACTGCAGCTTCCAGGTGGTCTTCAAGAGAAGCTCCACATTACTTACTGCAGCTTATTGCAGTAAGCCAAGGGAGGTGACTAAGACAAAAGTAACTGTGTTTCCCCCTTTGCCCATATCCAAACCGTTAGTAAAGCTTTTGGGCACTCCAAATTATTGTGTGTCCACTTCCACTTACTCTGTTTTTAGTATACAAAGTGTTTTTTTAAATACATACTCTAAAAAGTTGCAATGAAAATAACTGCCTAAAAAGGCCAGCAAGTAAATCAGTGCCATTTTCCACTCCAGCGAGTTTACCCAATTACTTTCTCTCTCTTAAAATGAGCACTGCCTTTAGCCAAAGTTAAAATGGGATAGATCTGGCTGCCCGAAAGCAAGCACCTATCTTACCTGGAGATCTAATCAGCCTTCTGGACCCCCTCTCTCTGCTGGAAGATCTTCGAAACCATGAACTGGAGTTATGGGGTCGCCATGGAGACCTTGACCTGTGTCTGAGATTAGACAGTTGTCTTGGACTTCGACTCCTTTGCCTGCTTGATCTGTGCCTGGGACTCCTGGATCGTGACCGGGTTCGACGTCTGGCATGCCCAGAACTGGAACGTCTTGACCGCTTGGGGCTAATGCTGGCAGAACGCCGCCTGAGTGTATTGTTTTCATTTCTGTCACCCTCACGTCTATGGACAAAGACGACAGAAAAAATATATACGTTACCTAATGGTTTTGGTTCAACGTGAAACTACCTTAATACAGATAGCCCTCACTTAACATCCATTTGTTCAGCAACCGTTTGAAATTACAATGGTGCTGAACGAAAGGACTTACAACCGGTCCTTGAAGTTCCAGCTGTTGCAGCAACCCTGCAGTCACGTAAACAAAATTAGGGCCCACCCGCATTTACGACCACCTTCTGGCCACCCACCTACCCACTGCTGCCAGCTGCCCCCGCCACCCAGCCCTGCCCGCCACACCGCCCACCACATTGTGCGCCACTACTGTACCAGCCGGGGCCTTCTTCACACTGCCTTCTTTCACACTGGTGCCACCAGGGCTTCTCCTGTGCCCAGCCAGGGCCTCCATTTTTCGAGGCAAGCGTGTGAAAGAAGGCCTCAGATGCACCAGCACAGAAGAGGGACCCTCCTAGTCAGGTCCTTCTTTCACAAAAGAAGGGCCTGGCTGGGGCATGAGAAAGGCCCCAGCAGCACCAGTGCAAAGGAAGGCAGGGTGCAGAAGGTCCCGGCCAGTACAGTAGTGGCACGCGGGGCGGCAGTGGGCAGGGCTGGGCAGCAGGGGCAGCTGGCAGCTGGGCGGCCAAAAGGGCAGAGATGGGGAGGGAACAGGCAGCTGGGGGAGTTGAAGGGGAGGCAGTCCCTTACCTTGGAAGAACCAAGGCTCGGGGCTTGGAGGGACCAAGCTGGGAATGGGCTGTATCGGGGTGGGTCCTTGGCTAACGACTGATGGGATTTGGTTAACGATGGCAACGGGGAGTGCCTGGATTGCCGTCGCTAAGCGATGCAGTCGTATGATGTCTCTATTTATGACCGCACTGCTTAGCTACAGAAATTCTGGTCCAAATTGCCATCATAACTCGAAGACTACCTGTATGTGGGGGGTTTTGTGCCCTTGGTGGAAACCTAAAATGTTAAGTTATGACACAGAATTAATGAAAGCGTTCATTTAGAAGAGTTTGAACATTTTATTCCTTAAAATGACTGACATTTCTTATAGAATGTAGAGGCTCTTTCACTTATTTATTGGGAATCTGGATTCTATCAAGCACTTCCAGAGAGATTCACAATACATGTAGTCCTTGCTTAACAACTACAACTGGGACGGGCAACTCCGCAGCTAAGCAATATGGTCATTAAGTGAGACATCACATGACCACAACAGACCTATGACCTCACTTCTGCCACGGTTGTTAAGTGAGTTGCCGTGGGTTGTTATGCGAGACATCATGTGACCACGACTGGTGATTTTACTGCCAGCTTCTCCACTGACTCTGCTTATTGGAAAGCCAACTATGAAATGTGCAAATGGGAATCACACAACATATGGGAGGCTGTGACAGTCGTAAATGCCTGCTAACTGGAAAGCACCCAAATCTCAATCACGTGACCACAGGGACTCTGCAACGGTTGCAAAATTACTTTTTCACTGCTGTTATATCTTCAAATGATCACTAAACAGGGCAGTCATTAATCCTGTAGCTATAAAAAGACATGGACCTAGTGATTCTAGAAAGCACTAAAAATCAGAGTAAGAAGAAATAAATAATAAGGTTGCCATTGAATTTAGCACTATTTGTCACTGACAACCCTAATGAGGATTAAAAAGCCTGTGTACGTCTATGGCTAAAATAGGGCTCAGCCAAAACCTTTCAGTTTTATTGAACTGACTGCCGTTCTGAACATGCAAGAGAAGCACATGCAATTTTTCAAGTATCAGACAGGCAGTTACTGTACATCACTACTTCTCCAAAAACTACAGTCTATAAGCAAAGAACAAAAGGCAGATGTGACTCTATGCGCACTTTTGCAACCTCTTCCAGCAACCACTGCCATGCAACCACTATGATTTCCAGGTTTCTGTAGTTCTTTTCATTAATATGCTGTAATTCACTAAAATGTCTTTGGGAAAAAGCAAGAAAGGCGATCACATCCCAAAAGGTGTAATATAAAGAAAACATAGTTTTAAGCTACCTTTTTGATGATGAATGGGATTCTGGATTCCAGTCAGGATATCTATTTAAAGAATAAAACTATTAATAAAGAAACTTGGAAGCTTTTATATTATTTTCCTTAAAACATACTAACTTGAACTGAAATGACTGATGTCCCCGTTTGCACTGTCTGCCTAGCTGTGACTTCCACAATTTCCCCGCTGCAGGCATGCTGAACTTCAGAATGCTGCAACCCGTTTCAAACTACAGTGGTACCTCTAGTTACGAACTTAATCCGTTCCGTGACTCTGGTTGCAACTCAAGT